GGAAAGGCCCTTCGCAAGGCGGGAAGGAAATGGTTTGGCGGGGGGAGCTGACTGCATTAAGAGCAAGCTGGGGGGCAGGAGGCTGTGTGTCTCCCACCACGGGCTTGGGCGAGCGGGTTGGCCTGCGGGGGACAAGAGAAGGCCAGGCCCCAGGAGACGCAAGGAAAGCAGCCCAGGGCCTCGCTGGTGTCGTTCAGAGAAGAGGGAAGAGCAGACCGACGCAGGAGGGTCAGCTTCAAGGAAGTCTTAGCCCCGGTCCCCGGTTACACGCAGCACCGAAGCAGCACGTGGGACACGCTGAGACGTGAGGCCCAGCTGCACAGCTTGGCTGGGGGACAGGGAAGTTGCTGGTCCAGCCCCGAGCTGAGGGCTCGCCCCGCACGCCGCTCACTGATCCCGTGGCCTCGTGGACATGTGGGACATGTGCTGGATCTGGGGACCGTGATTGCCCGTGACCTGCTTCACAGCAAGGGCCGGTAACGGCACAACGGGGCAGATGGGTCTCAGGTCCCTCTCGGCCTCCTCCGTCTCCTCCTCCCCATCAGAGGGAAGCCAGGGCCCTCGCTTCACGCTGCCACCGTCCCTGACGGTCACACCTGGGGCTGGCTTAATGGAGTCCAGCAAGGCACCCGGCTTCCAGGGCACAGGGCTGCTGGGCTCCAGGATCTTCTTCAGAGGCGGCAAGGGATGTTCTCCTCTTGCGGCTCCCACCTCTGGGAGGAGCTTTGAGCTGCTGAGCTCTGATCCCTGGCTGCCAAATTTCTGACGCTCCTGACTGCGCCTGGAGACAGCCTGGGCACCTTCATGCTGCTTGGCTTCCACGTCTGGGTCCAGCACCTCCACCTGGGGCCTGATCCAGTGCTTGGGCAGGCGGGCTGGGTCCAGCCTGGAGATTCCCAGGACGGCCCCAAACTTATCACATTTTCCCTTCTTGCTGCATGAGGGCCTCCCAGTCTGGATCTTTATCAGGTTGTTGGAGGACGGAGGCAGAAGCCATTCAGGACTGTCAGCCTTCCCCATGGAGCTTTCCTCCACGTCCACGTGGGAGAGCTGCTGCTGAAGCAGTTCCTCCTCTGTCCCCTGCAGGGGCTCGTCCACGCTCTCGAGGCTGGGCAAGCGCTGCGGCCCCTCATGGGACTGATAAGAAGGCCCTGCCCAGGCTTGGCAGAGAGAGCACGGCTGAGGAAGCAGGACGTGACAGTCGGGAGGAGATTGTCTCTTCAAAAGTTGGGGAATGGGGGCCTTCTCATACCGCAGCAGATTCAAGGAGGAAAGCGATGGCACTCTGTGGGGTTGCAAGGAGAGCTCAGCCTCTTCGGACAGGAGATCGGCAGAGCCTGAGACCTGCTTGGAGCACAGGGTCCTTATGGCAGAGGGGGGACCCTGGCCTTGCGCAGCCAGAGAGGGACTGCTGCTTTTGGCGCTGACTGCAGCCCCCCAGCTGCAGCGCCTGCACACTTGTACCTGCCCCGGGAACGGGCGAAGTGGGAGAGGGGGAGAGACTGAGTGTCGGAGGTCAGTTATGTTAAAGTCCTCAATCCGAGGTGACTTGGTTTCAAAGGTCCTGTCTCCGCTCCCTCCCAGAGGGTGCAGCCTGCTGCCAACAGGCTCTCCTTGGTGCACGAGCGCTGTTGCGGGCGCTGCTGTTCGCCTGCGTGTGCTGACGCTTTGAGCACTTGAACAGCCGCTGCAGCGCTGCTGGGGAGGAGGACGCACAGGGAACAGTGACCTGGCAAGCAGAGCCGCAGCACAGAAGGGGCCAAACCTCCTTCGCTCCTATTCCTCACCCACCTGTGATCCTCCCTTTCCCACATTAGCAAGGATCCACTGGCTCTCCAGGAGGGCTTATTTGCTGAAGGCTCTGGCCTTAACCAGGGGCCTTGTAAAAACATCTGGAGGACTCGCACCACCAGGGCCAGGGAAGAAGCATCCTTTACCCTCACTCACACCCGCCTTGCTGACGGCTGTTCCACGACAGCAAAGCCAACTGGGCTCAGCCCTCCTCAGTGGGGACTCACTCACTCACTCACACAGACCCCACACCCAGGGGAAGGGGAAAGCTCAGATGCCTGGGGATTATAGGAGAAGGATTGGGGCATTTCATACTTCCGTCTCTTCTGAGCTTGGCAACAGATGCTCCTGCACGACAGGAACGGAGCCCTGTGCCCAGGAGTCTGTGATGAGGGGCTCAGGCTCTTCATCTTCTTGCCAGGTGGCATCTTTCTCCACGTTCGGCTCTCCCTCATCCCGCAGCAGGAAGCGCCACTCGGTGATCTGCAGGATGGCATCCTTTGCCTGGTTGATGGTGAAGGGCACGCACTGCAGAGCACAGGCCAGAGACAGAGACAGCTTGGCATCCAGTGACGAGCAAAGCCAGGACAAAGGCAGAAGAGCAGCTAGAACACAGACTCCTGCCCTGCCCTGCCTGCTCTATGGGGATTTGCAGCCTTCATCATTACAACACTGCTAGTTCAAACCACTGGCACCTCTAATCCCCTGGCTGAGAGGAGAGGTAGCAACCAGGATGAAGGCAAGAGCAGAGGGCGCAGCCAAGAGCATCTCAGAGCTATGGTGTCCTGTTTAGATTCTCATTCATGGGAGAAGGAAGGACTTTTCAGCCACAGCGAGCTTCCCTGGAGCTCTCCCAGGTGTGAGGGAGCAGCAGGGAAGCCAAGGGAGGATGATGTGCGAGTTACTGTGGGCTGCGGGGATTCAGGGGCTGAATCTTTGGGTGCGGGATGGAAGGACCCTGCTCTTCCCTCCCCCCTGCCAAAGGCTGCCTTCAGCAAAAGGACTCTGTTTGAAGCCAGGCAGCCAAGTCTTCCCTGGCCTCCCCTGCTCACCTCCCGGCCGGATGCCTGGTGACACACTGAGCACCGAGTCCTTCAGGATTCACCCCCCCACCACACTTGAAGCAGGGGCAAAGACACAGAGCAGGGTCTGGAAGGGACCTGGTCTTGCCCTGGGGCCCACAGCGGGGACGTGGGTGGCACCAGCTGTCACCAAGCAGCACGCGGGGTTCTCCTTGAAGCAGGACTGGGCTTGTTCACCTGCCGAGCTAGGTAGACTTTGTAGCACTCGTCCATCACGTGGTCCCAGAACCCTGCAAAAATGTCTCCAGCCTCATCCTCCCCTTCCTCAGCTGCGACCAGGGAAAGCCATTCAGTCTCAGTCAGGCGCCCGGGGACGATTTCCACTTGGGGAGCAGCAACTGTCAGCGGTCGTGACTTCTCCGCTCGCGACCTGGAGCCTGCTGTTCGCTCCCGGGAGGACATTTTCTGCATGGAGAGACAACGACCCTCTCAGCTCCAGATTCTCTTTCTAATGCCCCACAGACGGACATCAGGAGCCCAGGCTGGGGCACCAGCAGCACAGGGCAGGATGATGTCCCACGGCTATGCCATTCGTAGGGTGCAGACGGCCCGCAGTCCTTCTGAGGGAAGGAGGGAAGCCGTGCAGGGACCAGAGGTGAGATCTTGCTCATACAGTGCCCTGCGGACTCTGCTTTCCCAGTTCCCCAGACAGCGATGTCAGCCACGAGCAAAGCAAGGCCAGCGAGGGCCAGCACAGGGGGAGAGGGACGAAGAGGCTGTAGGTGCTAGCGGTGGCCTCCTGCTGTGGGTCTCCTCCCCCCAGCTCCCTACGGCTGCAGGGTCTGGCAGAGCCCGGGGCTGAGCGGGGAGGGCGGGTTCTGCCGAGCTGCAACCGGTTCAGGCAGGCTG